AGTGACACAGATGCGTCTTTTCAACTTTAGTTCTTTTGATATTTCAATTATTATTAATTAATGTTCCTAGTCCTATCAGGCCTGTTTTAGAGAATGACCACCTTGGTGGGATTGGTTTGTTTTAAAATTTGAAAAAGAAGACTACTTATAAATACTATTTACAACTACAACTAACCTACAACTACTATGTACACCTAACCTACTATATACAAATTGCTTATCAAAGCATGTTCTGATAAATTACATTTTTGTGCAAATTTAGTCTTAATTTCGTTAATTCTGGAATCTATTTTGGCAATGCCTGCCTCTTCGTGTAAATTTGTTATTCTAGTAGCCAGTCTGTTTACCCTTGAGAGGCGAGATCTGCGGCAAATCAGCGGATACAGACACCTAACCAAGGCAGAACACTTGACTACTGTTTTCTCTACATGCGAACGGAAGAGGAGCTTTTCATCGATCAACATCCCGAGATAGGTTACTTCGGCAGACCACTCAACCCTTGTGCCATCCGAGGGGGACGACTCTATCTACGATGCAGGAAAGATGGTGTTTTGCTGTGGCTAGCTGTGTGCACGCTGAGTAGATAGAAAGAAGATTGTCGATGATTCTGAAGATTTCCTGCAAAAGATGATGCGCGATGCAAGTAGATGCGAGAAATGAAAGAAGATTTTCCGAAGATTGATTCGCTAGTTGGAGATTTGTTAAGCATCTAAACTTGAGATTTAGATGTGTCGCCCCCCTCGGTGCCATCCATGATTACAGTACAAGATGGAGCTGGTTTTAGTTTGGGCGATTGCCGATGGAGGAACATGATCGCTTGTGTTTTGGAGGGATTGATTTTAATTTTCCACGTGGTGGCATAATCAGCAAAGGCGTTAAGACATTGTTGAAGTTTGTTCGTTATTTCGCGAGGCATCCTTCCTTTGACGGCTATTGCGGTATCATCTACGAACAGGAAGAACACGCAACCGTCTCCAAGGGGAGGAATGTCGGAAGTGTAAATGCTGTAAAGCAAGGGGCCCAGCAGACTGCCTTGCGTGACTCCTGCTGGGATGGAAAACGTGTCGGAAAGACAACCATTCAACGATACCTTAAACGATCTTTGCTGAAGGTAGTTACGGGTGATTTTAACCAGATGTAATGGGAAGTTGAAGTTACAAAGCTTGTACACAAGTCCGTCATGCCAAACATTGTCAAACGCCTTTTCAACGTCTAACAAGGCCATGGCTGTGGACTTGGATACAGCTTTGTTACTTCGGATGTTATTCATCACCCGTACTAGCTGGTGATTGGTGGAATGCCCCTTTCTGAAACCAAATTGTTCCGGAAGGAGAATGTTATTTTCCTCGACAAACTTGAGCAAACGATTGAGAATGAGTTTCTCGAACAATTTGCTCAGCGCTGAAAGGAGGCTGATTGGTCTGTAGCTTGAAGGCAATGTCGGATCCTTACCAGGCTTGCGGATTGGTATGATTTTAGCTACTTTCCAGATACTTGGAAAGTAGTGCAGTTCCAAGCATCTGTTGAAGATAGCGGTTAGAAGAGACGGCACTTTCATGCTGAGTCTCTTCAAGATCAAGTTGAATATACCGTCAAACCCGGGAGCCTTCATGTTCTTGGTGCATTTCAGCGCTGAGCAAATTTGTTGTACTGTAATCATATCCGCCGGAGGCACGACACAAGGGGAGGCATCTAGGTTTTGAACGCATTGCGCAACCTGATCTTCGAGCGGACTTTGTATAGTCGAGCCAAGCAAATGCGATGAAGCGACATGCTTGCCGATCGCCTTTGCTTTCTCCTGTGGGGTGATTAAAAGCCGATCGTCATCATTTTCGACTTTGAGATGTGGAATGCGTTTGGGATGATTTTTCAGGACCTTGGCTACCTTCCAGAATGGTCTGGAGCGGTCGTACAGATTCTGGATCTGCCTGTTCAGATCGGCCATTTCACGTTTTTTGCCCAGATCTCCAGTCCTCTGAAACTGGCGTCTACGAACATTTCTCAGGCGAATCAAAAGTTGGGTGTGGGAATCAATGGCAATAAACTTACCCCTCACAGGAACTCGTCGGACGCACGCCTCGTCAGCCACGGTTATGGCTTGGTGGAGTCCCTCCAACGCTCGGTCGATGTCCTCCACGGTGTCAAGCGGCGGGTTGTCGATGATGTGCCTGTCTACCGCGCGTCCAAACTGAGCCCAGTTTACGCGTTGGTAGTCCTTGTGCAGACTTGGAGCAGGGGCCACGTTGTAGCCCAATTCAGCCACCACCGGTTGGTAGTCGGAGCTGAGTTCGTTCAAGGCTACCGGCTTGGACAAGCCAAAATTGTCAGGAACAGGTTTAGCGTCGATGGGTTGCCCGCCGGTACAGCTGTGAGTGGTCAAACAGCAGACGACCGTTCTGGTTCTGCTGGTAGTTCCGCCAGGCCTCATGGCGAGCGTTCAGATCTCCTCCAACTACGAAGCGGGAACCGGTACGGGTGTTGGTGGACAGGTCCTTCTTGAATTTAGCCGCTAGTCCACTGCTGGCGGCACACTGTCGAGGGCAGTAGACAGCGATGAACTGGACGTATGCAGTCGACGACTCCACCTCCACACCAAGGGCCTCAATGATAGAGGTGCGGATATGGGACAGAGTGTGGTATTTTATTCCTTTCTTGACGACGACCGCTAAGCCCCCCCCCCCCTCCCTCCCTTTTTACATATTCTGCACAGCATACGTAAGAGCAGTAGGAGTGGTAATTTTTGAGAGAGCAACAATATCATCGTTATCAAGCTTACACACAATTGAAAAATTGAGTGAACAGTACGATCCCATCCTCCTAGAAGCTGAAAAGCATGGCGATATTTGCGCAGCAAATATCCAAGTCGAAGCTTGCAACATTATACTATTCTGCGTATATCTGTCACCGGGAATCTGTTCCACTATAGAACGAAAGATAATCCAATCATCGTTACGGGGGATTTCAACGTAGACGTCTCGAAAGCTGAGAATATCGGATTCGTCCAATTTATGAAGAATTTTCTGCAACTCGATCTCGTATCAGACCCTAAGCTGCCGACCACATTGGGTGCACATGCACCGATTTGGTGTTTGCAAGGAAAATACCGGAATTACCAACCAAAAGGTTCATTACGTACTTTTCGTACCATCGCCCCTTGCTTACCTTGTTGTCTGCTGTAAGTTTCTGAATAATTCTTGAATATGGTTGATCATTTGCTTTATTTTATAGCCACCGACGACACAGTAGTGGCAGTAGGATGCTTCCCTTTAGATCTGGGTGTTCACAGTATCCTTTTACAACAACGTCACGGATGTCATAATAATATCGGGAATTTTAAATAACGTTTATTGATGGTTCCCGTATTTTTTCGGGAACTTCGATAGTTTGATGGTTTTGAAAATTTCAGCCACCTTTCCTTTTCCTACGAGCAGAGTCTATTTACTATCTACTAATCTGACCTTTCCCTTTTTCTCCTCGTTGTCCTCGGTGTCACTCGGTGGGGCCCTTGGACGATAGCGGCGGTGGTTGCTGCTTGGGCTCCAGACACGGTCTGTACCGAGCGTCTCCTACTACACTTTCAGCTACCTAGCAGCGGTCCTTTGCTTTTAGCGGGGGGAATGAGTGGTCTACAGACGCTCCCCGAACACTTTTAAAACGTTTGTCACGGTCGACTTGGCCACATCTAGCACTTTGACTATATGTTTTTAGTATTACTTCTACGTGAAGTCAACGATTTACATAGTTGAAGATGCTAATTTCAAATAACAGACTGTAGTGGTAATTTTTATACGATAGATGGAGTAGATGAAAGCATAGAGTTGATAGTTCCGTTAGAGTACGGCAGTGTGAAGATTGTATATAGATATTACTCACCATTCCTCTCCAAAGGGGGAGTTTGGTAAAGAGAGATGAAAAAACCGATTTGTACCTTCCTTAAAAGTTGTCCTAGCTCGCTTGTCTAATATCTATATACAATCTTCACACTGCCTTACTCTAACGGAACTATCAACTCTATGCTTTCATCTACTCCATCTATCGTATAAAAATTACCACTACAGTCTGTTATTTGAAATTAGCATGTTCAACTATGACACATCTAGCAATTTTGCCAACTTGGCGTGTGAGAACGTCGGATTCTCTAGCTGCGCGAGCAAAATTTTGACACGCTGCTCCTCTTGCTTGGACGTCATTTTGAAAACTGGAGAGCAAACGGTGAAAACTCATCATAGCAACCATTGTATATACACTCAACTTCCAAATGCAGCAATACACCAATTTGAAGTTGACCAATTTTTGTGCGTTCCAGACTACGGAGCTAAGGATCTTTGGTTCGAATCTAGGTATTACAGGTAATATTGACCTTAAGGTTTAAATATATTCATCATTTCAAAAGATAACTCACTATATTTCAATTTCCAACTTACATTCAAACCAATATCACCAGGTACCACCAACTATAGAAAATTAAAGGTTCATTTAAAAGGTATTTTTTCATGCTTTTTGCTTTTTGGTCTGCCATAATTTTAGAGATGTAATTTGAAAGTCGTACAAATAACATTTTAAATAAGATATTGGCAAGTACCCTATTGAATCATATGAAATCATACAATGTAGGAAAAATTTTCCTCATGCACGTAGATGGCCTCCAGATTTGTACGTATAGTTGAATTCTATGCACTTTGTACGATTTATTTTTACCGAATAAAGATTATCATAGCAGAGTAACAATTCAGTAATGTGAAAAAAAAATGTTGGCTGGGGAACCACCGTGGCAGTTCATATCACCTAAAATTGATACTGGGGATGGAAGAATCGAAACTAGATTCCATAGTTGACTACGGCTAAAAGAGGTTCTTGGTGGAACGTATACTGAAGCTATGCAAAGATTTTTGTTCTTCACGTTTATTTGGCAAGCGACGATTTCGACTGTTTTAGGTCGATGTTGCTGATATTTACATTTACGTAAATTTACATGGAACTACTCTTTCTCAACTAAATCACTATGCTGTAGTGGGTTTCCGCTTGCATATTTGCACCCAATGCTCGAACGGTAGCTTCAGCGTCAAGTCGTGCTTGAATCGAATATCTTCCTGCTTAATTTTGGTGCTGAACTTGAAATTTCTCACCAAGTTCACCATCACCGTCTTCATACTGAACGATGCGTAGCGCCAGCCTACAAATGAAAAACAACGGCATGATTAAATCATAACGGGCGATGACGACCCACAAGCGTGCTAACCCAAACAGATTCGATTTCCTCCGCTGAACGGAACGAACGCGAACGGATGCCGCTTTTTGACGCGCTCTTCGGAGAAATTTTCCGGATCGAACCGGTCGGCATCCGGTCCCCAAATGTCCTGCCTCCGATGCAGCGCATAGAAGCTCAAGCAGAAAATATTCCCCGGTGGCACTTTGACACCGTCGATTTCTATTTCGGCAATGTTTTCCCGGGCAATGGCCGGGACGACCGTCCAGTGGCGCTGCACTTCGTTGAGGAACATTTCCATGTAGGTGAGCTGCTTGAGAATATCGGGGCTGAATTCGACTTCCTCGCTGGGTCCGGTGGGAAAGTGTTGATTGATTTCGGCGTACAGTCGGTCCTGGACTTCCGGATAGAACGACAGGAACAGGCAAGCGTGGGCCGTCACCAAACCCGTGGTGTCGACGGCCTGTGGAGAAAAATGGGAAATTTTTACTTTAACAATCAAATTAGGGGCTGTTCACAAACCACGTGCATGTTCTTAAATTGGATAATCCGTACATTTTTTATTTTGGTTTTGAACGATGTTGTAAACGATATGTCATTGAACAGTATATATGAAACAAGTTTCCTACCCCGGTGATGACAGCGTACACATTGTCAGTGATTTGCTCCTGAGTGAATGTCTTTCCATCCTGGGAGGTACTTAGAAGCTGATCGACCAAAATTTTCGGCTTATGATTATCCTCCTGCTGGGGTTCATTACTGTTGCACTTTTCTGACAGGTACTGCTTTCGCTCGATCACCAGCTGTAAAAGGTAGGGAAATGTAAGAAAACGTATTTTGATTGTTAGCAGAATATAAACCTCAATTTAATCCTCGACGTAGATCCGCAAATTGTAAAGATTAGAACTGGATCTTTGAGATATTAACTTTAAAATTTCCCAGGAAGAGCGATCTCTCGGAATCAGTTGACAGAGCAAACAATATCCATGTTCTTGATGTAAAAAAAATGTATTAACTAATTAACACTTACGATCTGCCCTGGGCTTTGGCAAAACCTTGAGGTAGTTTAATTAGGCTACCAGGTCCCAGGGCTGATCTGGATCTTTACCATATTGGAAAGGTGCACACTAGTGTTGCCAGATCAGTGTTGATGCTTACCAAAAGTGCATTTGAACCCGCTTATAAAAGCATATTATTTTTTTAATCATCACCGTACATTGTTTATTGCTCTGTACTAATAATAAATGATTGATCACAGCATTTGATATTTTAGTAGGAATGCTGGATTTAGTCGCAGTGGAAACTGGAAATCAATTCTTTATTGAATTGGATTTATTTCTATGGATATGCACATTTGGAAAGTATCATCACAAAGATTCTGCACTCGGTCTACAGCTTGTGGGTGGGAAGTGTTGTGTTTTTGTTTTTTTTTTTTATCTATTTATAGAGTCAATTCTTAGAAATACGAAGCGAAAGACAAATCAAGCATTAAGCACAAGACCTTCAAGAAAACTAACAACACGAAGTCTGGAAATGGCAATGTTTCATTCAAAACGTCAAGTATGTCAAGAATATCGGGTGAGACCAATCTAATTAATCATTTTGTCAAGCTTCTGCATTCATGTTCCATCAGATGTCACTGCTGTTGTTTGCGGTGACATCTATCGGAAACTAGACACAATCTGTTTCCTATAATTGTTCACAGAGGACACTGCAGTGCAAAAGATGTCTGGTACCTCTATATATGCATTTGGATTATTATTCGAAGTCCCTCCTTTTTAACACATTCTGCACACAAAATAGCTCACCCCTTACAGGATTTCCCGTCGAATTTTATGTATGGGGCGGGGCATAAAGTATCTTTTGCGCAGAATATGTAAAAAAGGAGGGACTTCAAATGTTAAAGCAAATGCATATATAGAGGTACCAGACATGTTTTGTAGTGTCAGGTACTCTATTTTGTAATCTGTGAAAGGGAAATCACAAATCGAGTGTCAACAAAATACATGGCATGTTGAGAGATTGAGCTCGTGAGAGAGAATTTCTCTCTCAAATTTGAAATTTTTTGGCTCTCTGGGGACTGGTAGTAACGAGGGGGACGACTCTATCTACGATGCAAAAAAGATTGTGTTTTGCTGTGGCTAGCTGCGCGCACGCTGAGTAGATAGAAAGAAGATTGATGACGATTCTGAAGATTTCCTGCAAAAAATTGATGAGCGATGCATGTAGATGCGACAAATGAAAGAAGATTGTTCGAAGATTGATTCGCTAGTGTGAGATTTGTTGACCATCTAAACTTGAGATTTAGATGTGTCGCCCCCCTCGGGTAGTAAAGCAGGTAAAATTGTATGGAGAAAAATCATTTTTATTTAATTGTAGCTTGTTTAGCATTAATTCCCGGGAAAAAACTGAACGACAAAGCCCCTGACTAATTTCTTTAGGTTGTCGTTCACTTTTTTTGACCTGAATATGCACCGAAAGCGAATTATTCCCACTTCTCTCAATTTTTATATGGGGATTTTATTTTACTTCCTACCAGCGGAACAGTGCCATCTCTGTGGAAAATGGTCGAACAAAATGATTAATTGTATTTAATTTTATTTTTGTGTAGTAGGATATTCAATTGAATCGCTCAGGGTTATCATGAAGCCCTCCCCTTGGCTAGTTTTTATCCTGGACTTTGGTGGGTGGGCCTAATATAATGCTTCATAGTGGAGCGTTGGAGACAGTTGGTTTAGGTCCGGCATCGTTGGCTCATGCCGTGACAGAATAGCGGCATGAGCATGCGATGAGGATTACTGAGCTTCCCCTCTCTGATGAACCATTGCATAAGAGAACCAAAGTTCTAGTCTGAAGTGATATTATCACACCTGTTACTCCTTTTTTTAAGAGCTGCGTCGTGGTACGCCTCCGTATAGGCACTGACGTTGGGTGCGATACTGGCTGGTTTTTTCCGCAAATCTTATTGTATTTATTTTTACACAGATGGGTTTGTACTGGAGTTATACTATTGAAGTATTTTAGAAGGTGCCCAATGGTGCGCCTTCTACTTACGTGACGGGCTTTCATTGTTGTTTTCATTGAAGTATTACTCAGGGAACAATGTTAAACACTATTTGGGTACATGGTATTGTAACTAATCTTATATGTGCTTCATTTTGATTTGGGATAAGTGTTTTAACTATGGCTCGGGATTTCCGCTGTGGCGTGCTTCTATTGTGACATACCCATACGTATTTTTGTGGTGTGACATAGTGGAAACGTGTGAGCGTAGTTGGACATAAGTTAAACATCAGCTAGGAAACTAACTTCAAAGTGAAGCATTTTAGTCACTTGAAGGTGTCACCTGGGACGAACTGATATATAATAAGTATAGGTCAAAGTCAAAAACAACTTGAGACACGTTATATTTTGGATAGCATGCACAAGTGCAGGTACTTAGTAAAGCATGGGTTGTGGTTGATTAGGTTGATTGGAGATTTCGGTTATTTATTAAATTAGGCTAATGAGATATCATAATCATCAAACGAAAATTTAGACAGCCAGGTGACATTGGGTAGATTGAAAAAGGAGTTAGGATGCGGGGGTCCGCTTAGGGAGGCACTAGCCTTTTCATATATTGTCTGTTTATTTTGATGGTTGCTTTAAAATATTAATTTGGTATATATGTGAAAGGATGAATCAGTGGGAGATGGATTTAGGGTTTCTTTACATTTTGCAGCACAAATCTAGTACTAGGTGTCATTTCTTCAAAACCTCCCAATAACCAACCTCTTCAATCCCTTCCTTTTCCCATGGTGTTCAAGTGGTCCGCATAGACTACCCAACAAACAAGTTTAGCTGCAGATTAGCTAATACAGCCAAAATTTGCCTTATGCAGCTAATTTTTGCCTGTATAAGCTAAGCTGCAGCTAAAATTGTTTGTTGGGTATTCATCCATAACCCCTCCCTTTATGCTCGGCTTTGGATTGACTTGCGCTCCCATTGCCCCACCAAACGCTGCAAAATGAAAATGAAAATGAAACTAATTAACACTTACGATCTGTGCGTATAATTACATAAGATAAATCTTACTTCTCAAACGCGAAGATACGATGACTCGTCAATCAACCGATAACTGACGGAACAGGACGGGAATTACGCAATGGCCCCACTTGCAAAGCCGCAGTTCAGAGATTCTAAGACTAGAGCTTGTGGAAATGGGAACGGCTAGGTGTAGCCATCGGAACGACACGAGAGGATGATTTGCAAATGCCGTATCAGTAGAGGCGTTGTCACCGATAGCGTGCCGTGTCCGGACTTAATACACGAAGAGGAAAGTATGGTTGCGTCAGATTTTAGGTTGCGTCAACCAAATTTCTGTATTGAAAATTACACAAACATGTTTATGATGGTTAACATTATTGAGATGTTTGGAATAAACTAAAATCCCAAGAAATTTTTTTGGCATGACTTGGACTTGAAGAATGGTTTAAAACCTCGATAAAACTTGCAATGTTACTTGGGATGTTATGTTGATTTTGTTTCACTTTTCAACCTCTTCTTTTTCTTCTTTCCTTTATTTAACGTCAGTCTCTGTTCCGCAATCTAGTGCCAATCACCGACGGACATCGATTGCCATCTATTGACGACAATCGAATATGCAGGAAGGCAGCTTCCACACCTGCGTAGGATATCGCACCCATTCACAACACACATGGGCCGGGACCAACGGCTTTACTTCCCTTCCGAAGGAAGACGTGACCAGAGATTTTTATGCCTCAGAAAAATCCCACCGACCTCGGCTGGGATTAAACCCAGACCCATTGGGGTGTTAGAAAGCAGTCACGCTTACAGGGCTGTTACAACAGGCGCGGATTTCGCGAATTTCGCGGATTTCGCGATTTTCGCGGATTTCGCGATTTTCGCGGATTTGTCGCGGATTTGAACTTTCAGTCGCGAATATCGCGGAAACATTAAATGATGTCGCGAAAATCGCGAAGGGACTGATGTGCTGTCACAAAAAATGTGGAATTCAATGTAACCTTTCCGGCCCGGATTATTTTGCTGCCTTCAATTTTGCTGTTCATTTGGCTCTCCATTTTTTACCGGTTCAAACCAAACACCCTGTAAATAATCGGAAATTCCCTGAGGTCTGTCCAATGTGAGACATTTTCCTTTTTTTTTCAATATGAACATAGCATTTTTCGTTGTCAAATCATAAACGAAACGTATATAAGCGAGTAATTGGCATGTATACCGGATATTCTAGGTTCTCCAAATCGTCCTGGAGTTCAGTTGATTTGTTCTACTATATCAACCAAGACTGCAATAATGTCTGTAGTATCGAAATATGTCCAAACAGATTCAAAGTGTCTATGTAGATTGTACTATACGACCTACGTATACAAGATGTTATAGGTTCTGAAATCATTCTGTAGATCAGGTTATTTTTCTACTAGATCACCCAAGACTAATTCAATATCTGTAGTATCGAAATATGCCCAAACAAATTTGCAGTGTCTATGTGGATCATGCCAAATGTTTTAGGATTTCCAAATCGATATTCGATACTACAGATATTATCCTAGTCTTTGTTGATCTAGTAAAACAAATCATCTGAACTGCAGGACGATTTGGAGAACCTAGATCATCTGGTACACGGGGAAATAATTAAACATTATCCATATAGACACTATGAATCTGTTTGGACATATTTTGATGCTACAGACTTCATCCCAGTCATGGTTGATCTAGTTGAATAAATCATCTGAACTCCAGAACGATTTCTTCTTCTTCTTATTTGCATTTCAAGCTTATTGAT